CTGAACGGAAGTTGAATACGTCCAGCATTACACAAAGGAATTGATCAACGCGGAGACTTTATCCTTTTTATTTTTATACACGTTTTGGAAAGGGGTTTCGAGAAGGAGCAATGATGAGATTTCAGTTGTATAGATGTGAACTCACGCAGGATTACTTGGCCAAATTGTATATCGTCTAAGGTCGCGGGATCGGTTCCTGTGCATTCTAGATCAACGGTGTCTTTTCTTCTCGTCCTTACTTAGTCAGCCCTATTTCACTGATCAGTTCGCCAGGTTGACGAAAGAACAACCGCTTGCCTGAAGTCAGGGTCGTAACGCATCCTACAGTAGTTTGTTTACGCTTGGTTCAGCTTTCTTGAGTAGTTGGATCATTTTCAATAGTTTCCGGAAACCCGTTCTGTATCTCTGAGCAGTTATAGAACTGCAGTTCTTTTTGCTGTAAGAGCGAAGACAGACTTAGTCCGTGAGCGTCATCTGCTTTGCTTTATTGCTGCTGCAACAAAGTGTTCATGAAACAAGGAAATGGCCCCGCGGCAGCAATTCGCCTTGCGAAGGCTCAACTTTATTACTCTAGGTGAGGCTGTCGGTATAGATGGAGAATATCTGAGCAATGTTTTACAAAACGTTGTCCAACGTTTTGCTATATAGCTTTCTGAGTATGAGGGGATTCGCACGCAATCGTTTTCGTTTGCTCTTGCATATTCCAATTATTTCTATTAGCTCTCAAATACTTTCCACTCTATTCCCAGCTTCGCTTCATAGAAATCGATTAAAAAATTCGAATAGCTGCTTCAAAAACTAATGATGATTCAAAGGAGCTCTGCGTTGGCATAAATGCAACGTCACTTACAATAAGAGCAAAACCGCGCGAACATTAGAGATTTGCAAGATAGAGCTCAACAGCCAGGAGATGGCGACTAAGTGCCAGGTAACTGTGGAGAAAGGCAGCAGAAAAAGCCCGAAATGTCAAAAAAGGAAGATCACAGCCTCGCACTGCTGCTTGCAAAAATCAAGAAGCGCGTATTCATGACCGAAGTTGCCATTCGGTCGATTATCATATACAAGTATATGCGGGTAAATCAACAGAAACCGCTTCACTTACTTCTCTCAATGAGTGGAATAGCGCAACTGAGGGCAGAAAACGTGTACGGCGTAGTACATTTTGACTTTGCAAAAGTGTTTGATCGGGTACCACACCGAAACATCATTGCGAAGTTAGAATCACTCGGAATTTATCCAGTCATAGTGGCTGCTGGATCCACAATCGTTCTTTGCTATTGTACTAGCAAGTTGCGATTAAGGGGGTAGCGCCTTTTTCTTCGAATTGATGTCACTAGTGACGTCCCTGATGATGGAGATTAATCGCCTTTACTGCTCTTTGCTACAGCCTGGCTCCCTACTCCTTGTCAGGATTGGGGTACAAAATGCTTGAGTATGGCCGATGATATAGATATGTATGCAGTATTGAATGTCGTTAGATGTGAGGTTGCAGAAGCTATTGTCATGATTGTATGTGGTCGAGAATGGATTACACTGGCTCTGTAAAATAAAGTTTTTCAGTTCGGAAATGAACGTTTAGTCGTTACTACATGATTATCAGTACTTTAAGAATATATACATACCGAGGACGCTTGGTTTCGTCCTCTCCAACAAACCTTGGCTTTGGAATACATTATAATTTTTTGGTTTCCAAAAGCTCACAACAGAAGAATGTAATACTTTTTTCAAAAGCTCAACATGAGTTTTCCCAGCTTAACTGAAACCGTAAAGAGGCAGCCAGAAATTTTTATCGCAAAAGAACTCAAAATATACAAAAGAATCCAAAAGTTCTCGCAAAAAATTTTTATTGTTTCTAATACTTCCTTCGAATATTTTGGTGCCTAGCACCTTCTTCAGCGATCTGGTCTGCTGCCTCCAATACCGCCTCCGCTGCTCCTTGCAAAAGCCGGACCTTCTAGTGTTGCGAATTATGGATTAAATTAATTAAATTTCAAAGCGTTGAATTCGAAAAATCCCAAGATATTACTGCAGGCCTATAAAATCCTATGTTAGACCTGCAGTGGAACATTGTACTTCAGTGTTCTCGCCATATAAAAAAAGATATTAAGCTCTTGGAAAGTGTGCAGAATAGCTTTACTCGTAAAGTTGCCCTTCGATGTTCCGGAATAAGCTTGATTCTCTACCAAGCGCAGAGGAAGATAGCGGTGCTTAGAGGGTACCTGGTCTCCTTGCCTGGTGATGATTTTGAAGATCTAACCGGTAGAGCAACGGTTAAATGAATACTTTGAATTATCTCGAGACAACGGAAGCGCTATCAAGATCAGGGCTCCTGTATCGAGAACCCAAGTCAGGTCTAAATTCTTTGCGATCAGAGTGCTACACTTATTGAACAAAATTTTTGGCGACACCTGGAGCCTTTCGCATAAGGGCCACCAGGCTAATTAATTCAGAGGTCTCCTAAGTTCTCGCATCTACGGGATTGTTTGACTTCAGTTGATGTGCTTCAAGTGGTTGCTTTTTGAGTTCATGTTGATTGCAATTTTTAAGCGCAGAGATACTGCGTCCACAAATAAATAAATAAATAAGGATATAAGCTTTTTATCTTATCACCTCACTCACACCATCGGAGTGGAGAGATAGCATATATTAAAATATGCGAAACAGCTGATGCAAATCTCCCACGTGATCTGTTGTCATTTGGCGCAAAACGCGCTCGTCTTGTCAAGTGGTCAACAGAACATCCGTCACCGATCATCATCAATAGGTCAGCAGAATTCAAGCGGACGAGTTTTCTTAGGCCCATGGTCATATCCTTGACTTCTTCATTAACTATGGTGCATTTCAGTGCCCCGCGCCAAATAGACTTACAGTAAATGAACCAAAACGCAAATGTGTAAAGTCTGAAGGTGGTTGAATGAGGCCGTCTAGAAGATTAGAAGTTGTGCATTTTTCTCTTTTTCCCCAACAATTTCAGTTTCTGGAAACAATCGGAAAGAAGTGGGTCTGTGATAACCCAATAGTTGAGATTGCTTGTGGCCGGTCCTTTTAACAGCAACGGTCTTCTGCCGCCATCTGCACCCTCTTGCCTTGATAGCGTTCCGTGACCACTGCGACTCGGAGAGGGGCATGCTAAGTGGCTCACCAACAAAGAGACCGCCGGCCTATCGGTTGTTTCCAGCCCACACTAGTTTTCTCCGTACACTTTCATTACACTGATGACCCGCATTAGTGCGTCGCAGGGTAGGACCTCAGCAAAAAGTTCAGAGCAGTCACGTGACCATTAGATGTAAAGCGGTTCTAAAGGGGCACGTATACTTTTAAAGAGCACGTGCACTCTTCAATATGACATGCTGTCATTTCAAAATTATCTTGAAAGCAATTTTTACAAGCGAAGGGATCAAACTGTGTCTCTACTGACTAACTAAATGTTTTAGTCTTGCTGGCGCATTGGTTTTTTGCGGGTCTGGAGAGCGGTACTGAGGACCTACGGAATGAAGAGGAAACTAAAGTGTTGATCAGACAAAGCGTGGCAGCAAAGAAGGAGCTAGTCGAGAGAATTCAGGTGAGATGTCACCGGTTTCAGGGCTTACTGTACCGTTGATGTCGTTTAGGTAAACTAGAGTTTGAGCAATCATTCTTTTGCAGTTTAGTATGCAAGCGCAGCTCGGCCTAGTGGGGGGACAATGGATACTGAACGAAAGCTACCGACTGCCCAGTGGGCCTGCAGAGGTCACTTTTAGGACTTGTAAATTCCTGTAATCAAAGTGGCTCACCTGTAATTTTGTAACCTCACGGAAAATTTACATGTTCCACCAAGAATGAGGCTTTTCAGTAAACGGATAGTAGCGAAGCGAAAAGTGCAAAGTGCTCCTCCTAAGCCGAACAGCGCCCTTTGCATCATTATTTTACTGCTTGAATACTTTTAGATGATGTACTCTGACCAATCGATGGCGCAATTTTTCAACGAAACAGAACTTCGCAAGGCAATTGACAGATATGATGTGAGCATGTCGTTCAAGCCAGCCATCCAGAAAAAGAAACGATGGGATCTCTGGGGAGGGCTTTATTATGCCGGAACCATCTACACAACAATAGGTGAGTTTTTGATAGCCGATAATGGCCAAAAGACAAGCCTGACCTGGGCAAGTCTTCCTTTGGAGTGCGCATTCGTTCACGTTCACTATCGGATGAGAGATTATTTAGCCCGGTAGGTGAATTTTTGAGGCAAGCTTACCAAGACGCACTGCTTCTATACCCCAGACTGTTT